TAAGTAGCTGAAAAATATTAATTAATACCAAAAATAGCTGTGAGCAAACCTTAAGAACTGGTTTATTTAAAAGAGTAACTAGCTGTTGGATAGCATTTGAAGGTGGGGCTGATTCTTCACAATCAGTTAGAAGAGATTCGCAAAGATCTATAAGGCTCTTATCCCTAAATTAAAAAACTATAAAATAGAAAACATAGAAAATTTAAAAAAAAATAAAAACTCCCGCTTACCCATTACTCGGTTTCAAAAACCCCTGATTGACGATAAGTTTGTACAAGGCTACTGTATGGGGATCTTCATAAACTAAAGGTTTTGAATTCTTCCCAGACTCTTCACCAATGCTCTCCAGTATACTGCCGTAAGCTTTCAAAAATTCATCAGGAGACACAAAAGATGAGTCAGAAACCATTTATTAGAGGTGAAGATCACTTCCTGTTCAATGCACTTATAAAACTATCGGTAACGGCACTGCGTAAGATGACATTTGTGGCAAACAAATGAATCCTGAAAAAGTAATTAAATGGGTTGAAGTACTAAGATGAGCGGCAAAAAACTGCAAAATCTACGAAAAATAAACCATATCCACATGACCGAGACAAAAAAGTCTAATATTCTTTCGATATGTTACGTCCGTTCAATACATCTTAGAGCGCAAAGACTCTTTCCCTAGAACCTTCAGGAAAGCAGAATTACTTAAATAGACCCTCAAACGGCTGATAATGGTACATAAATAAATGTAAAAAGATGTATAAAAGAAGAAAGAAACACGCATGTAAAAAGCCGTCTCCCCCAATCTCAAACCTTAATCTAGCCCAAGTGTTCAAGATCTCTGCTCACTTGACTATTCTAACTTCAAAAATTTTGCAGCAAACTCAGCACTGCTACTGCTGCTGTACGCTACAAACCAATAATTGAAGGGAAGCTCGATGGTCATGGTTACTTCCAGCACGAACACAAGCTTAAATTATGAGCTAATACAGACGCAGCTTTGGGGCTTCAGGCCTCACAGTACCCTTATTAAGTTCCATATTGGACTAAATATCAGAGAAAAAGCAGCAGATAAAATATAAATAATAGGCGTTATTAAAAAAGAAGAGTTCTTAAGCCTAATATATTAAGCTGAGTAACTAATAATATTAATCATTGGTACCGTTCACTACAACACTGCTAATCTCTTCAAAAACTAACTATATCTTTTTAAAAGAACTCCTAAGCTACCACTAAAACTCGTAAAACAACAGTATTAAACAAATAGCAGAAAAAAACACGATGTGATAAAAACAAACTTCCATTTTTGAGCATTTTTTAATTTGAAGCTTGAGAATAAGAAAGTGGCAATGACATCAGGAAGAGAAAAAACAGAAGGCAAAATGCTTTTCCATACAATATTCAAGTCGCCTTTATTTGCAAACGCATAACACACAAATGTCTTTTGCTTTTCAAGAATAATTTAAAACCTTCTCTTAATGAAACAAGAGAAACGAAACTCCCCACTAAAACGCGTTCTTCATTTCCTACGGCGTAAACAGTTGTCCAGATCAGCTTATCGAAACATAAAATGAAAAAGTCTTGGCAAAAATGACAAAGAAAGAGACTCAACTAAAACCAAACAGAAAGTTTAGGTGAACCATGGCTAAAAAGGTAAGCTATTCTCAAACGGAGAAGGAAAAAAAAAGAAGAAGAAGAAGGAAAAAGATCTTTCTTCCACCACAGGATTGAGCTGATCAATTGCAGATCAACGCTGTTTTCAGAAAGCAGAAAAATCAAATTTGCCAAAACGTTTTAACAGACGAGTTCGACAGTGATATCAAGGAAAGTTCAGCCCTTCTGGGGTTTTGCCAAACACAGGTCTCAGACGCGGCGGGAATCCTTCAATAAAAACCAGACGAACGCTAAAAAAAACGGGAACCATTTTTCAAATGCATTCGAAACATATTCGTTAGGTTCGACCGACAGGAGGTTGGAGGCTGAAGATGTCGGAATGAATGCATATACCCCTTCCATTCATTAAAATATCGTTTCTGATCGCTTAAATCTAAAAACCGACTAGTACATAGTTACTCAAAATTCCTCACAATATATACAAAAACAGAAGGAACTTGTCATATATAAGTATGATGTTTGCCTAGTTAATGGCCATGGATTCGAGAAGAATTCCAGGCTTGAAAAGTTGCTGCGATTTCTAAATTGGGAAGCTTCCCACTTACACTGCAGATCTTCGTTTAACAACTCAATAGTCTTAGCGTACCGGCGGCGGAAAATTGCACTAAATTATTTTTGGAACTTGGATCAAACCATTGGACTCCTGAGCTACCAGTGAACCCAAAGTATCTTTGGGGAGGTACTTTTTGGAGTTTTAGTACCAGTGAATTTTTCGTTCTTCACTGAGGAAGAAAAAATTTCAACAGAGCAAGTGTCTGTTACATCGCCAATATGGTTTAATGGCTGATTAAATTTCATAGTTTTGGTTAGTAGATATACAAAGGTTTACTGTTCAAAAGAACCTGATTGGTTGGTTGGTTGGTTCTGACCTCTGCTTTCCACTAAAAGTTGAACCTTTGGTTTCAAAAATTGGAAAAGGCTTGAAAGGTGCTTATGAAAGTATGAAATCGTGTAAAAAAAAGAAGGTAACCCACCAAAAGGTTTTTTTAGGTGGCTAACAGTTTTGTTACCGCGATGCACTTGACATAGCATTTGACGTAAACTTCGGTGAAACGTTTCGTAAATTTGTTTATAGTAAGTTTTTGAAAGGGAGGGAACAAAGTTTGGGTGGAACAGGGATTACCTGTTTGCAACTTCATGAAAGTGAACTTTCTATAACTTTATTGAACTGCTTAGGCTCAGATTTCTGTACCATATGCTTTTTTTAGTGCTCCAGTCCGGTGTTATGTATAAGGCACCTTTTGTACACTGTTGATGGACTGTTATTTTCTTTTGTTCACGCATACTGATATTAAGATTTCAGGACGTGCTGCTGATGCGAAGGTTGCAAATCCTGTTTAAAAAGTCATGCTTCGAGCATTTCAAAATTTACTGTATGCGTTTAAGTTCTTTACCTTAACAAAGCTATAGAGCAGTTATATAAACGAGGTTAAAATCATCCACTGTTCTGATACAGTTGTAGAGTATAGTCAAATGGTGCGATGTCACGAATTTATAGTGAAAATCCGAAACAATCAAAACTCGTCGCTAAAAAAGCCGGTAAAATTCCACTTTCTCCATTTTTAATACCCTATTTTCCATTTTCTTCAACCATTAATTGATTTCATGTTTATTTAATTGCCTTTCTCTCATTGTTATTGTAAAAACGACTCAATTTTCTTCCTGTCTATTCCATTCCTTACTGCAGGTCTTTAGTAACAATGTAAAACCGTTTATCAAATTCCAACAGTACTTTGAACATTGGAGAATCTGCCTTTGCGAATGGAAACCATAATTAGACGGTGGGCGGAGCTAGCTAGCGTGATCCCGCCTACTGGCAACGCGTTGCGCACGGCCTTTAGACTAATAGAAAATCCAGATTCTTTGAAAGCAACTACGTTGTTTAATGCTCAGAAGTTGTTGTTTTTTTGAATCAGAGATTAGTAGCATTCGTTGTTGCGTTAGATTTAAAATCATTTTTATTGGCAGTTGATATTTTTTAGAAAATGGTTATTTTTGTATGAGAACGGATGTTTTAAAAACCTTTAATGGTGAAAGACGCGGGTTCTGTATAGTCTTATTGTTTGTGGTTCCGGCAAGTGGAAAGCATTAACGTGTTGCTGCTTGTTCTTTCTCAACTATTACGATTTCCTTACACAGTGCTTCTTTTGTTGATTTGCAGCTATTCCGAGACTCATCAGGAACAAACTAGGGGATCCGCAGTTCAGTAAGCGTTGCAGAAAGGCCTGTTCAGTAGTCTGAGGTTGGTTCCTTGAAAAGATCTTATGAATTAATTACTCGTTAATATCTTTCAGTTACAAATTTGCTACACGAGTAATAGCTTCTTTGAGTAAATAAGGGGGAGGGAAATAAAACAGCTGGAACTTGTACTTTTTAAATCTCTACGTACTGTCTTTTACGATTAAATGTAAAGAAACAAAAAGTTGAGAAAATGCTGTATTGTTTATTGTTCATTGCCTTACATATTTCGTGCTTTAACTGCCGCTTGATACAAGAGCACCTGCAGTAGAATCGTCGTCGTTTTTTGAAGTTTCTCTACACTTTATATTTTTTTCAGATCTTAAAATCTAGATCCCTGATGCCGAAGAAGGATATTACCAATAGTAAAGACTCAAAAGAAAAGTCAGAAAAGGTTCTAAAGAAAGACCTCGCTGTCGGCAAAGATATTAAGGGAAAAGATAAAGAAGCAGCAAAAGAAGTTAAGCAAATAAAGGGATCGAACGGGAGGGAAGGTAAAAGTCGGGAAAAAGAGTCTCCTACTAAGGTGTCTGTCAGATGTTTCGCTCTTGGATTTTTGGCGATGCAGCAAAATATTTAGCGCAGTAACTTTTGATCAAGGGTTTTTCACCAAACTTATTATCTCCTAAAATCATTCTAGGAAAGCAGGGTCCTTCCTCTTGAGTATGAGGTTAATTCTAAGGTGCTTTGTAAGCACCGTGACGCACTTTATTATGAAGCGAAAGTGATCGTTATAGATAACATTCCAGACAAAGGAAAAGTTTATACTGTTCATTACCAGGTTTGCCTTTGTAAATTTATTTGTTTTTTGTTGTTGTGGGGTGTTCTGTTCACTTTCAGGTGTGGACTTCGTTTTTTTCAGGGGTGGAATTCAAGGCATGACGAGAAGATTCCTGAGTCGGAGGCTGCCGACCGTTTCCTTCCCTGTACTGAAGAAAATCTTGAGATGGCTCGAGTATAAGTTCAAAGTTTTTGAAAATAGTCTTGGTTATTGTAGTGTTTTTGTTGTTGAAAATTTTAAGGCATTACATCCCACTCAGTTTTACCTTAGTCAACCATTAAATACTTGTTTTTGGGATTTTATGGTCAATATATTAAGGCAGAGATGCAAGAAGCTCGAATGATGGAGAAAAAAAGGAAGGGCAAAAAGACACCTGTTTTAAACGATGAGAAAAAAAGTGTTGGAGCCGAAAGTCGTGGCAGTACACCGTCCGAAAAAGTTTCAAATCGTGTTACTTCTGTTACACCTACCGAAAAAGGTATTTATTAGGCAAATACTAGGGATCCTCTCCTTTTTCTCCCTCTTTTTAATAAGTGTATCCTGAGCTATTTCTAAATTCTCTAGGCACTTCGTCTTCTACTACAGGGAGGAAGAGAAAATTGGCTTCTGTTGAAGCGGAACCTGTTCAGGTCGATGAATTGGGATCTCCTAAACCAGAAATCAAAATTGAGGTTATTAGCTGTCATATTTTGTCGTTTTTTTCACGAAGTTGAGGATGAAGGAATAAAAGAGTACTGTGCAGGGGATTTTTTTTTTTTTTTAGATTCCTGCTGTTCTGAAGGATATTTTAGTTGATGATCAAGACATGATTGTGCGGCAGTTGCATTTAGTGAATTTGCCCGCAAAAAATACTGTGGAAGATATCATAAAAAAGGTAGTGTTTTACAATTCATCTGCTTTAATAGCAAAATTTGTGGTCTCTAAACATATGCATTACAGTACGCAGAGTATACTGGTAGAGCACTGAGCAACGTGAATGAGTTGACATTTGAACATAATGGTAATCAAACCAAACTAAGCAAAGATACGCTTATTGAGAGCAGTCGAGGCCTTCAGGTGATTCAGAGATTCCATTCTAGATACTTTTATTCAGATTGATTTTGACTGCTTTACTTTTAAGGATTATTTCAATACTACGCTTGGGTCGCAGTTACTATACAAATTTGAGAGGCCTCAATATGCCGAACTGTTTGAAAAGAAAACCGAAGTATGTTTGGTACAACTATATTTATTTGTAGTTTCTTTTTATCGTTTTTGTTAGAGATGGTTAATGGCGCATTTTCTTCAATTGAGCAGTGCAGGTCGATTACTTGATTACACAGTTTTTTAATTTCGACAGCGTACCAGTAGTTTTCACTGTCGATTTTCAAATCTATTTTTGCTGTCATTTGAAACGGGGAAAAAACCCAATTGTTTTAAGGAGGAGAATTCAGCTTCGAGAAGTGGGGATGGTTCAGGAGGCCCAGGAGGTTTATTTTAAATTTATTATTTATCTTTGTTACTTACTGTTGGTTTATTTACGCTTGCTCATTGGGATTTTCCTAGTTCTGGGTTCTAACATTTTTGATCTCAAGTTTTTTAGTTCTTCGCTCAAAAATTTTTTATAGAAAAAAAGTGGAGGCCCTCAGGCACATACGGGTTCATTCATCTGCTTCGATTATTCGTAAAGTTCGGTAGCATGCTGGGGTTGGTTTATTTTTTATTTTTTGTAAAGGTCTTGGTCTTATTCAGTCTTTTTTCCTTTCCTCCTTTGTTTCTTGATGAGCTGCAAAAATAGGAAAATTATTTTTTCCATAAAAACTTACAGTGAAGGCGTGAACGTCATATGACCTAAACGACACCCTCGTTATTTGAAGCTCCAAGGGTGAAATATGGGTCACATAGATTTACATTTAAAGTTGCACTGAACTTATTTTGAGGAAAATAACACTTGTTTTTAAATTTTCTTTTCAGTTTAACGAATTGGAGTGATAAAGCCATTAAAACAGTGGTAGGACATGTGGAAGACTTTTTGAATTTCCTAGAAAAGAACAGACAGGATTTCTATGATATTGAAAAGGATTATATTGTAGCATCTCCTGAGTACCAGAAACGTGTATGGAACGCGTAATGACCTCACTTAGTTACAAGATGACACTATATATCAAATGGTCTCATTTTTCCTTTTAAGCTGTACAAATTCTCTTCATTTATTATTCATTTACTTTTTATTTTATTTCGTTTCACTCGCCTGTTAGTCCATTTGGAATCACAGTATTTATCAAGTATGTGTAATCAGGCTGCTTGCTAATTCATTGTGGTGAATCTACTGTGCGTGTTTGGTGTAGTACGTTTTTTCTGCAATTTTAGAAGTTTGGTGCTTCCCAGATAAATGACCACTGCGGTCCTATAAGATTTCATTGCTGTGTTCCAGGATTTGAAGCTTCAGAAGCTTGCGACTTTACGCTCTGAAAACTGCAGTGATCTAAAATTTGGCTTCCTCAACCTTTGGAAATCATCTTCACCATTTACTGTTTTTTTCTTTTTTTGTGGCAATGGTTCCTTTTCTTGTCATCAAGTGGTTAGTTCTGTGTTGTATAGCTATTAAACTACAATTTTATCTTTGTTTTTTTTTCTTTCCAGCCATGATCCTTTCATTCTGCTAGCTTGTATTTTGTCTTTTTGCTGAAGTGTGTGGCCAGCCTTAAAATGGGCTTTCATTTTCGACTTAGTAGGTCATTTTCTTTGAGCGCATTACTATTTTTCTTCCTCTATTTTGTTTAGGACAGCAGTGGCAGGGTGATGAAGGTGTATTCTTTTATATTTAACGAGTATATATGGTGGGTTTTTTCAAAAATAACAGTTTGAGTTTTGGTTAAACCAATAAGTGTTGCAACTGTTTGTAAATGAATAGAAAGATAAAATAAACTTATAGACCTCGCACAGTTATGCAAATCTAGGAACTACCAACCACGTTAGTGTTGTAAAAAGGCAAAAGAGAAAAAGCACATTTGAACCTGAAGTTCAATGGTTTTTGTTCTGCTCTAGGTAAGTACTGATGTATAAAATGTATTTCGTGGATGATTTCCTCTGGAAAGGACGGCCGTGACTATAGGGCTGCAACTGGAGGGTGGTTTGGAACGTTGGTTCAACCGGAGAGCAGATTGTGCGAACTTTACGGTCAGCTGTTTACTCCAGACGATCCATTCCCACGGTTGTCGCAACAAGTCGCAACAAATATTTTGTTTTTAAAAACCGGCAGTTTCGTAAATAACCCTGTATGGTGTTGCCGGCACCGGGTTGTCTAGCATCTTTTGTTTTCTTCTTTTTGGTAGTGCGGTTCGTTTTCCATCGCTACTGAAGTCTTAGTTTGGTTGTTTTCAATCATAATTTTTTCTTTTTCTTAAATTTTTGCGTTAAGGTTTTGGATTTACTGGTGAGATTTTAGGCATTTGTTGAGGCAGGGGAGTCTAGTACGTGCTTCGTGCTAAGGGTCTTTTTTTGTTGATTTCAGAAGCTACTGATGAATTAGGTTTGTGTTCAACAACTTACAGTCCCACTTCACGTGGACAATATAGAATTAAAAATTGGCACTAGAAGTGAGCAAAATTTCTGATCTCCTGCCAGGGAAGTATTGACCTTAAAAAAAGTCTGGGTGGAGTGTAACTGAATGGTGTAGCAGACGGTCTTTGTGATTACTCAGTAATGAAAGTTTATATTGACGTTTCAAGAGTGTATTTTCAGGCTTTTATAAGCCATCAGAGAATATATATATGTATTTATATGTTTATTTATATTTATATTTATATTTATATTTGTATTTGTATTTGTATTTATATCTATATTTATATACGATATGTGGATATTCGGAAAAAAATGGGATTAGCAATGATTGCGGGATTAGGATTTTTTTGTTGTTAGGACACATTCCATTGAAAAAGCAATGCTGAGTAGAAGAAGTTAATATAAGTTGTGAAAGCTCACCTTTCCGCATATGCTTTAACTTGCTTTGGCTTACTTGAGATACCTTATATGCATAAGGATGCAGGTTTTCCAAAAGAACTACCATAGTTTTCTTAGCGGTAGCGCATTGTTGGGGAATTACTTGTTATCAGCAAATCAAAAAAAGTTTTGTTTTGAACTTGCCTTTCTTGCTCCCAATGTAACTGATTTTGAGAGATACAAAAGACAGTGCTCTTCTCGTTCTTTAACTCGATATTCGGAAGGATGGCTTTAGAAAAATTGGTTTTCTTTGTCTCCTCTATGACGTTTTATTTAGACTTACTATTGCTCAGAGATTGGTTTGGAAAATAAGTCAGTGTTTTGGAGTTTTAAGTGCTCACCTTCTGTGTGGTAACCGTGAGGATAGATTCTAAGGTAAGAATAAAGTATAGAGCCGTAAAGGTCAACGCTACTGAGGTTTTCGATATTAACGGAACTGCATTTGAAAGCGTGCTAGTGGCGCATAATGTAATAGCGCCCGTTTTTGAGAGTCGTAAACTTTGATAAAGCATTCACTTATGTATCATCACTGCTATCGCAACCTACGGTTGTGTCACTGAGCAGAGGTAGACAAGACTTAAGAAACTGAAATTTAAGTAAATGGTGTTAAAAACGAGGCAAATTTTTTCGCTTTAATCTCCATTTTTTTCTTTCGTTTTATGGTTTTGTTAGACAGTGTTTCAATTTAGAATACCCACTGTACAATGGGCTCTTTCATCCATATATTTCTTCGCCGGCTTTTGCAGGGGATTTTACTATCCAATCTTGTTCTTGTTTTGTTTTACGTATAGTTGGTTAGGGCAGCACTTCCTACAGTACCGTTTTTTTAATGAGACATCTTTGTTTCGCAGATGTACCCTTTTAGGTATAGTTATTGTTGAAATTGTACCTCATCTTTGCTAGGTCAGTGGCATTGAGCTCGGCAGTTTTCACTGAGCGCGTTGATGAATGTCGACAAATAAATAATATCGCAGTAGCTGTCAGGAGCGTCTTCACCATTACTTTTTTGGCAAAGTTTTTGTGATTAGTGGCTTTCCTGACGGGCAGTTTTTGGTAGGTTTAGGCAAAACTTTACTAGACGAATACTTGAGAGGCTAATGGATTAGTCTAAATAAGTTCCTCCTCTTTGATTGTGACCAGTTTGCTTTTCCACTTGCAGCAAGGTATTTGTCATTCTCTGATGCACGATTTTCTGATTTGAAAACTGAGGGAATATGACCTTTTCAAACTCATTAGGAGAGATTTGTGGATAGGCGTGGATAGGCAAGCAACTTCTGGTGGAAGCGGAAGGAAGGTTTTCCGCTTTTTAGCGGCAGCATTTTAAAACATTAAAATTTCGGTGATAAATTTTTACTGTTTTCGTTTGATGTCTTGTTTTTTGATGAAACGTTCAATGTTGAAATTTTTAGTTTTTGAGAAGATCTTGATATTTGCTTTTTTTGACTAAGTGAAATCCCCCTTAAACTGATTACTGAGGGATTGCGAAGTATTAAGTTTTCTGTTTTTAGTTTATTCACTGCTGGAATCGCCCAGCGGGTCTTAGAAATTCTGATTCTTATGGCTGATCTGTATTTAGTTTCTAGAATTAATGAATAACAGTAGAAAATTTCTTTGAGTTTCAGTATTGAACTTTTCCAGGTTTTGGTGATTCAAAGTAAGAATATAAGGAAACCACTGTTTTAGAGTTCTGGGTCGTCCAT